TGGGATGGGTTGCTGGAAAAGTAGTCTTGTTCGTTGATGGCTGATTGGCCAATGAACTGATTTGCTGCGTTAGGGGAAGGTGGGAGAATGGGCATGTCAGTTATTACCTAACTGCCTCCTAGCTTCAGATGACTCTTCAACACCTATATGGTGATCATGGCTGGACTCTGTGAATGTTTCTCCTTTACCAGTTGGCTCTCCATTAAGTTTTTTTTTTTTTTAATATTTTAAAATTTTATTTACTTGTTTTTGACAGCACTGGGTCTTCATTCCTAGTGTGGCGAGCGGGGGCCAGTCTCCAGTCATGGTGCACGGCCTCCTCACTGCAGTGGCTTCTCTTGTGGAGCACAGACTCCAGAGCGCGGGCTCCGCATGGGCTCAGTTGCTCCACAGCATGTGGGGTCTTCCCAGATCAGGGATTGATCCCATGTACCCTGCATTGGCAGGCGGATTCTCAACCCCTGGACCACCAGGGATGTCCTCTGTTAAGCTTTGTTAGTAGCAAGGGCTAAGACACTGCAGGAAGAAGGGGCTTCCTTTCCAGGCCCCTGCAGTGAGGCATCGACAGCATACCTTCCCTGAGCAACCCCAAAGGCAGCTTCCCAGGGCGTCCTGCCAGCATGGCACCGCGCCAAGTCTTCTACCATCCAGGGGCCTCACTGTGGCTCCCCTTAGCCCAGTGGTGACATCATCAGCCCTGGTTACAAGTAAGCGGGGGAGGCTCTTCCAGGTTTGTTCCTTCCTTTAACCTCTGCCTCAGCCCTAGAGGCAGTGGCCACTCCCCACATCTGCTATTCCTTTGTGTCCTTAGAGTAAGCAAATCAGTCTCCTATTAAAACAGACAGTAGGTAATGCTTAGTAAGTCAGCCCCTGCTCCAGTTAATAATTCTCTATATCAAACCTTTCCTGTTCACTTTACTGTGCAGCTTCTGTCTTCAGATTGGACGGTAAGGTAATGGGTTGACTGGTGAGTTGGTTGATAGGCTAGTTAGTGGGGTGGTAGACTGGTGGAAGAGCAGGTTAGTTGGCAGACGGGTTGGTGGGCTTTCTGGTTAGTCGGTTGGTTGGTAGCTGCTTAGAGGGGTGCCAGAGTGGAACGACGGCACCACGTGTGGTAGGTAATGTGTTGGTTGGTGGTTCCTGGATTGGTTAGTGAGGTGACGGCTTGATTGGCAGGTTGGCAGACTCTGGTGGCTGATGGGTTAGCTGGAGGGTTGGTGCTTTAGGACATGGGGTTAGCACCACATCATAGGACAGGACAAGACCAGAGGAAGCCCCCACATTGAGCCTCAGCCTCTATTTCTGCCCACCCGCACGGGCCCATCCAGCCCCCCAGGCTGGAATCCTCACGGCTGTGCCATGCCTACTGGACCACGTATGCACACAGAAGCAGAGGCTGAGGCAGGGGCATCCAGGGAGCGTGGAGAATGGCCCGAGAGGACAAGTTCAGGCTGGTCCTTTACCACGCATGCCCCTGCAGTCCCTGACAAGGCCTCCGAGGGACCACCTGACTACCCAGCATCCATGGGCCCTTCCAGGAGAGGGATTAGAACTTCCTGTCCTTCCGAATGGATCTGTGCTTCTGCCCCATGAGATCTCCTGAGACACTGACCCAAACACAGACTTCCTTTAGGTGCTGGATGACCCCCAATCCCAGGAGCCTGGGAGTCTCTGCTGTTTCTTCCTCCAGCCTTCTGCCCACCAGGACCTCCGACCCCTGCCAGTCCCTGTCACCCTCCATCCTCAGCGCTCCCTCTGCCCCACGATCCCCACTCACCCCACCCCCCACTCCCCGGCCTGGCCCTGAGGCTTGGCCTGGAATTCAAAAGGGCTTGGGCCCTCCCCACCGCTCCCAGCCACCTCTCTAGGCCCCAACCTGCTGACTCTTGGGTGGCCTGGCCCACACCCCAGCCAGAGGCACTGAGACATTTCTAAATTGCATATTTTGAGAATCAGAGAAAAGGAGATTTCAGAAGGAAATTGCTTTCTCCCCTGCTCAGCCCAGATGGACTATTTTTTAACTTGTCTTTCCCCCCACCACTTACAATCTCAATAAAAAATGAAATTATGTCTAAAGCTTTTCCCTGGGTCAGGGCTAGTCTCTAACCCTCGGAGCCTGGGAGGCACCAGAGAAGGCCATGTCCCAGGGGGCAGGGGGCAGGCACACCACTTCCAGTCCCGCGGATGGGCTTTATTCTAGCCACCCACTGCCCTTGAGTCCAGAGCCAAGCCCTGGGAGCTGCAGGAGGAGCGTGCGTGGGGGCGCTCACACGGCAGCAGAGAGTGGGCCGGGTTGGGGCAAAGCTGTGAAGGGGGAGGTTTGCTGTGACTCCTGAAGCCCACTCCCCAGCCCCACACTCCGACCTACCACCACCCCTGCCAGCCCCCTTCCCTCCCTCCAGGCCTCAGTCAGGAGAAAATCATCTGATTCCTCACATCACTTCATGAGTGATGGCCACCTGAGGCCGGCTCTGAAGGCCAGTCTCCAAACCAGGAGGCCAAGGTCCAGCCCAGCTTGGAAAGTCACTTCCCCTCTCGTGACCTCAGTCTTCTCCTGCAGAAGGGGCATAGTGAACCCTGCGCTGCCGGCTCAGAATTGAGGATGGCATGGATGTAGTGATGTGTGCCCAGTACCTCGTAAAGCGACAGCCTCCTGTTTCTTGACCACACAGGCCACGCCGCACACCACGCTGAGTGTCTTAAACACTTTGTCTTGTTTTGTGTTCAAAAGAACCCTAGAGGGATTACCTAGTCCAGAGGCTAAGACTCCACACTCCCAATGCAGGGGGCCCGGGTTCAATTCCTGTTCAGGAACTCTTAATAGATCCCACATCTGCAACTAAGAGTTCACAAGCCACAACTAAAGAATCTGCATGTAGCAACTAAGACCCAGTGCAGCCAAATAAATAAAAATAAATACTGGAAGAAAAAAAAAAAAGAAGCCCACACCTGGATCTGTTATCTCATCAAAACAAAAAGAATCAAGGCTCAGAGAGGCTAGGGAGCTGCCCAAGGTCACACAGCAGGCAAAGTGAGGCATTAGATCTCAAGTGTCTGTTCTTAACCTTCACATGGTGTTGTCTGGTGCTATTTTGTGTTTCTTCATCGGAGCTTTGGAAGAACTATCATTCAAAGAAATAAGCAGAGAAGGAATTTTAGGCTATGCATGTAAGAAAGAGATATGGGGTGGGAAGAACCTTCTAGACTATCTCAAATGATAATAATAGTGGCTACCACTTGCTGAGTACTTACTGTTTGCAGACATTCTGTTGAATTTTTAGGTGTAAACTTAATCTTTACAACAACTCTGTGAGAAGGCTTATCCCCCATGTGCAGATGCTAACACTGAGGCACAGAGAAGTTACTTAACTTGTTCAAAGGTACATGACTATTAGCAGCGACCTCTTACAGCCTCAGCAATGGCACCAAGGGAGTTGCCACCCCTACTAAGGCTCCTCTTCTCAGACCACAGGGTATGTTAGGGGGAGGAGGCTAAGGGTCAGGGTGAGACCCTCCAAACAAGAGCCCACAGTGAGGGTGCCTTTGCCTCTGGTTTTCAGGCCAAAGTCCCCTTCTCTCTTGGTCACACCCCTGCCCACCCCCCAAGAGTCTAGTTAGTTGTTCAAAGCTGCAGTGATGACGGAAGGAAGAAGTGGTTCAAGATTGAGAGACACGGGCACATCTGTGGCCCATTGGCCAGCACCCCATCCCCCCGCCAGAGCCTCCTAATCTTCCCCTAAATGTCCCCCACCTCTGGCCCTCTGTGCCAATTGCTCAAACCCATCCATCCCTTCTCCTGTCCCCAAACTTCAGGTGCAGAGGTCACTCCAGCCCTGGTGATGGTAAGAGGGGGCCAAGGACAAAATGGTCCATAATTTGATCCCAGAATGAGGCTGTGAAGCCCAAGACTAGCCAGCGGAGCTGGGGAGGGGAGAGTCTATCAGCAGACGGTAGGCTGGTGACAAAATATATTGGGGCCAAGTGACCGCTGGACTGTGGCTAAGCAGATCAGATTGACTCTTAAAGAGGGCCTGTCAGGAGGACTGGCAGGCAGGACCCTCCTCCAGCACAAGAGGTTTCTCACTTCAGCTTCCTCCCTGGGGGAATCCTCTGTCTCCTCTTGGCCCCCTCTCTCCAGGGAGAGCCAGCCTCACCCCATCCCCCCCCACACACATATGTGCACTCATCCCTAAGCAGTAATCTATGTACATCTTGCTGCCAAAAGATTCTGAAGTAGTTTACAAGAATGCGTATAATAAGATTTAACGTATAAATGAATTATTTCATCAAAGCGAGAGAGTAGTGGGGCCCCATCTTCAGCCACACCAGTGAGAAGGCAGGTCCAGAAGGGACTGAAGGAAGCAGGCGGCAGAGTCACAGAGCTAGAGGTGAAGATGCCAGAGACAGAGAGCCAGAGAGGTGCAGAAGAGGGATCAAAACGAGACACTGGCCCCCAGCCAGCCCTGCCTGGTGTCCTGAGCCAGTCCACCAGACAGCACACAGACCTGTGATGAATGTCCCTTTTCTGAATCTGAAAAGATTCAGAAACAAGATTCAGGGAGAAGAAAAGTAGAATAACAAAGAGAGATCAAAGGGGCAGTTTTAGTACTCAGAAAATTCACAAACTTAGCTCTGGGCTTGGGGGCAGCCAAAGAAGAAAGGAAAACAGTGACAATCCCCCCGGAGACCCAGAAGATAAATACTCAGCACCAGAAAACAAACATGTCCACCCCATTTGTCCATTACCGTTCCCACAACACCTTGGATAGGCCTGGCACACAGTAGGTTCTCCATAAATACACTGAATAAATGAATGAATGAACATCAGTTTCTCAATGCAGGCTAACGTTTTCCCAGTGCATAGGTCTAAGAGAAAAATTATCATCTGTGGGCCGTCCTAAATGGGCCATGGAATACTCTTGGGGGGAATTCATTCATTCCTTCACTCATTCATTCATTCACTCACTCACTCACTCATTCGTTTACCCACTTATTTGTTCATTCATCCATTCACTTAAATCATTAATTCACTCACACATTCATTCATTGGGACTCCACAGCTCCTTCCTCGTGAGCACTGCTCTGGGATGAATCTGTGAATGAAATATTAGTGTTTCCTGCCCTCAGGGAGTTTTCACTGTGTGAGCAGGAGACAAAAGTATACAGTAAATGTGGATAACTGTGTAACCAGCATGTCAGACACTGAGGGGGTGGATTCAAAGTCCATTGTTAAGGGGCGGGGCTGAGTGCCACTTCGGCAGAGACCTGAAGGTGACAGAGGGAGGCAGAAGGACACCTGGGAAAGAAAAGGCACAGGGTGTGGTCAGGCGGCTGGCACAGCGGAGCCAGGCTCACAGCTGCTGTGCTGAGCACAGAACACAGGGGACACGGGAGGGAGCGGAGACCAGGCAGAGGGGCATGGGCAGGGTGGCAGCTGACAGTCAAAGAGGCTGCATTCCAGCAGTATTGGGGGGCTTAGGGGGCAGGCACTCCTGAAGGATCAGGTATGGGGAGTGAGGAAAGGAGGGGAGTGGGACGCCCCACCTGGCCCTCAAGGAGGGAGGGGGAGTTTGGTGCCAGACAGAGCAATTCCCCCAGGGGCTCACCTCAGCAGGCACCCTCAACCCCAGTCCTGACACAGAAATGAAGAGCTGGCCACCGGCCTGGGAAAGGACCACAGCCTGCCCAAAGTCCTCCTGAGAGTAACTGCTTCCATCCCAGCTCCACACTCTGCCAGGACCTCCACACTCTGCCAGGGCAGAGCGCAGTGCATTCCTCTGTGACCTCAAGTGGATGAGATGAGACGGGCTGGGTGCTGGCCGGAGGGATGAGTGCTCCTGAACACCCATGCTGCTTCCTTTATCCACCTGCCTAGACCTGGGGGGTGGAAAAAATACAATGACACCTGGTCTAGGAGGAAAATGAAGAAAGAAAAGATGAAGGTAGAAATAAAAGGACCTGCCATGTGCCAGGATCTGTGCCAGGCACGGCCCTCATCCCCCGTCCTGACAACCACCCAGCCACACAGGGACAAGACTGTCATGCCAGCTGCAGCGGCCGCCCCCCCCCACACACCCCAGGACACGTATCCCTCGACCCCATGGGGCCCTGAGCCAGACGCTCCCTCCAGGCCTGGCCCCTCTGCTGGCGCCGCCTCTCCAGCTCACTTACTCAGAAGGGCTTCTTGCGCAGACTCTGGAGTCCACAATGGCACGGCGGGCAAGCTGAAGGCAGCGTGGACATCTGTGATGACGCCCTGGGCCAGGCCAGCGTGGCCCAGCTCTCCGGGTCCTAGAGCGGGTGAGAAGCAGGGAGGAGGGAGCGGGATGCTGGCAGGCGAAGCAAGGATGAAATATTGATGCTCGCATCCTGGTAAAGCAGAGAATGCCGCTTGTCCATGAATAAAAGATGGGCCGGAGGAGCGGGCCGGGCAGCAGATTAATTAATCTAAGTGAGCACTCTGCCTTGTGCCATGGGGGAGGGGGCAGCGGAGTGAACAGTCCCGCAGGCCCGGGGGGGCCGGCAGAAGTCCTCTGTGCCAGGCAGGCAGCTGGTTACAGCAAGGACACGAGCAGAGCATCAGCGCCAGGCCCAGATGGGCAGGGAGAGGGACAGAGGCAGCTGGACCATCCAGGACTGACCTGGCCTCTCTGCCGCACTCCCGCGGGGGACCACGAGAGAAGGCGGCTTCCAGAGCAGGTGTGGGGTCTCTGAGGTTGGCCGCGGGGGATAACCTGGGACTCCTTGGTCCTTTCCTGCCGCCTCAATTTCTCCCTCAGGGAAACTGTGAGAACCTGGATAAAAGAGGGGGGAAGGGAGGGAAAAATTCAGAGGCAGGAGGTCTAAGGTTTGGCGAGAAAGTTGGGCCCAGGCTGGCATCACTCCGAGAGAGTTGGGCAGGGATGGAGGACCATGAGGTCTAAGGCCCGGGGAAGGGTTGGACGGTGCTATAGCTGTAACCACCCTCAGAAATGCTAAACCCAAGATGCCCATGGCTTCTTGCCTTCAACATAACGTGGAAAATGTGTTCATGGAGAGAGGGGCTTACGCCTTCTCTGAGGTGGCAGCGGTGGTTTGACCAGGGGATGGCGCTCACGACCTCTGCTTGTATTTGTCTTCCTGTTTGTGGCTCTCGATAAGTTTATCTAAAGGTTACACCAGGACTTTGTGGGAAGGGTGGAAATGTCCTTCGTTACAGTCCTCACCCCAGGGTCCTGCAGAAGAACGTTCTCTCCGGGATCTGAAGTGTCCTAATGACACCCCCAGGAGGAGCTCCCCAACCTGCCGGTGGCTTCTCCTCCCCCTGCACCAGCCTCAGTGGAACCAGGGGGTGCCTCTTGCTGGGGTCGTCACCCTGGTCTCCTCTGTGTCTGCAGACAGCAGGACTGCCCCTGGAACTGTTCCCTGGGCAATTCATCGTGAGCTGCCCACTGACACCTCCTGTGCCCTGTCTCATATTCGTTATTTAAATTTTTTTCACCTAGGCTTAGTCCTGTATCCTTCTGATCCCCATAGTGCCTCAAAGCTCTACACAGGCTCACAAGCACATCACACAGATGTCAAAGTGAATGAACAACAACAGTCCAGCCACCTGCCCTTGTCCTGGTCTGATTTCCGTGCCTGGACCTCACATTCCTCCCTTTAAGACAGGAACTAGTCCTTACTGAGGGCACCTGTCCACATCAGCCCAGAACCAGGCAGATGTTTTCCAAGCAACAAACCTCCCCCACCACGAGGCAGGGCACATCTCTCCCATTGGACAGATGGTGAAACTGAGGCTCAGTTCTTGGCAAAGGTCATCCCACTGGCAAGTGGCAGAGCCAGGAATGGGCCTTGATCTGAGCCTATGGTCCTTGCTGGTGCCTCCACATGCTGATGTGAGATGCAGCAGGAACGCAGAGGGGAGGGGACTTAGCTTCACCGTGAGCCCCCCACTCTTTCCCTCCTCCCACCCCCCCACCCCATCCCCCGCCCCCGCAGCTGCTGAAGAGGGTGGGAGCTGGATGGAGCCCAAGTGTTAAGGCTCTGGAACTGCTGGACAGGTCCCATGGCCGAAAGCAGAGAGGAGACAGGTGGAGAAACCCCACCCCTCTCCCAGGACCCCGTGAAAGATTCCCCAGGGTCTAACCACATCCACCCAGCTGCCAGAGCCTGGCTGCCAGATCCTGATACCTCACCACCACCTGGGCCTGGAGCTGAGGTCGGGCCAGGGCTGGTGATCCTCATCACACCGGAAATAATCACAGGTTCACAGGAATCTTGACAGGAGACGAAAAACTGGCAGAAAACTGACCTGGAAGGCACGTTCATTATCACACACATTTTACCAAGGAAACAGGGGCATCTAAGGGAGTGAATTTCTTTCTAGAGGGAAAAAAAGTGGCTGGGAAGCCAGGAGCTTGCCATTTCTGTGGTCACAATGCCACCTGCTGGCAGTATCTGGCCTGGCTTGTAGGGGTGTTTTCCATGCTTTAGGAATAACTTCCAGATCACTGGCATTTTTTCATTCATTCACAGATATTTATTCAGCACCTACCATGTGACAGGCATTGTTTCAGGGGCTGAATGAATAGTAGCGAACAAAACAGACTAAATTCCCTGTCCTTACAGTGCTTACATTCTAGTGGGGGAAACAGTAAACAAGGCCAACACGTAAATATTTATTGTACTTCAGTCACTCACTCGTGTCCGACTCCTTGTGACCCCATGGACTGCAGTATGCCAGGCTTCCCTCTCCATCACTATCTCCTGGAGTTTGTTCAAACTCACGTTCACTGAGTCAGTGAAAATATACAGCATGCTAGAAGGGTGAGCACCAGGAGAAAAACAAATTAAGAAGCAGGTAGGGAGTGCCCTGGAGATTACGATTTTAGATAGAGTGGTCAGACATGACCCCTCTGAGGCAGTAACATTTTGAGTAAAGTCTGGAAGGAGATGAGGAAAGAGCCATGTAGATTTCTGGGCATGAACATTCCAGACAAGTGCAGAGGCCACACTGAGCTTGTAAGGTCTGGGGAACAGAAAAGACCCGTGAGCATTAAGTAGAGTATGCGGAGAATGGTAGGAGGTGAGACCAGAGCTTGGAGGCCATTGAAAGGGCGCTGACCTCACGAAGTAGGCTTCATTGCAAGTGTTGGGCTTAGGAATGGCACAACCCAGTTTCGATTTTCAAAGGACCTCTCTGGGCCCTGTGTGGAGTCAAGGGTGGAAACAGAGACGCTGATGAGGAAGCCACTGCAGCCTCCAACAGCAAGAGGCCCAGGGGTAGCTGAGGCCGTGTGAGGAGTGGCAGGATTTGCTGGTGGGAGAGAGAGAAGCACCATCCTTGACCCCAAGGTTCTGGCCTAAACTACAGAAAGAGTGGTATTGTCCTTACTGAGATGTGGGATTGGCCAGCTTGATGCAAGGAACTGTGAGCTTTGTTTGGAGCCTGTCCAGTCAGAATTGCCCGTTAGACATCCAGAGGGCAGTTGGATAAGTGTCTTGAGCTCATGGAAGAGTTCCTGCCTGGAGCTACAACAGAGTCATCAGCTCTTCGTGACATTAAAGTCATAAGACTGGATGAGATCCAAAAGAACAGAAAGAAAAATGAGGGGCCGGGGTTTGAGCCCCGAAGCCCTGGGCTAATGAGGTCAGGAAGATGCAGGGAAATGAAGAGGAGAAGACAACAGAGAGAGGGAACCGGAATTCTAGAATCCTGGAACCAAGGCTAAGAGAGAGGAAGGAGTGGGCTAATCCCCGAAAGGGCTGAGAAGGGTCTACTGGATTCAGAAAGGCAGAGGGCATGACCTTGAGAAGAATGGTTCTGAAAACGGATGGAGACAAAGGAGTAAATGCAAGAAAGAATGACAGAGAAACTGGGGACAAGTGGAGAGCATTCTCTTGTAGCCTTTTGTTGTAAAAGGAGAAGGGAGATGGGAAGGTAGCTGGAGGAGGGTTGGGTCAAGAGATGTCTGGGAGTTTTTTCAGGTGGGAAAGAATAAGAAGCGCTTGGACACTAGCAGGGGTAACTGGGGACAGAGAGAGAAGCCTGTTGCAGGAGACATAGAGAAGAATTATGGGAGCACTGCTTTCCAACAGGTGAGAAGGGATGATATCTGGTTGTTCATCCCAGTGAGGTACCACTTCACACCAGCTAGGGTGGCTAAGACCCAAAAGACAGTAATGAGTATCGGTGAGGATGTGTGTAAGCAGCTCTTTGTGGGAAACTTCCCTCAGCAGGAAGCCCTTTGTCTTGTCATTTTAGCAAAACTATACTGTAACTAACTTTAAAAAAAAATTTTGGCTGCACTACACAGCATGTGGAATCCTAGTTCCCCAATGAAGGATCAAACCCATGCCCTCTGCATTGGAAGTGCTGAGTCTTAACCACTGGACCACTGGGAAACCCCTATAACTAACTTTTAAACCAAGCACCCCTATGCTCTACTCATTTGCAACCCAAGAAGACCTTTCAGATCTTTTAGTCACTCTATGCCTTGTCTAACTTATTGGTTCTGTCTATAGATCAAAGAAGAAATGGAAAATAAGTAATTAACAGATGACAAGATCTGTTTCCTAGCTTCCCCTTCAGTGATCTCCTGAACAAACTGTGGGACAAAATTGTGTGAACACAATAACATCTAGAGCAAGATCCCGAGGAGCTGACAAGCCTGCACACAGTGGGGAATGAAAACTCTGACCCCCAAATCGATGCTTATCTAGACTACTTTCCTATCTCCCTTTAAAAAGCTTTCACAGCCAAGCAGAATCCTTGAAGGTGGTTTTGGGGGGTTGTTCAGTCCACCATTTTCCCAGATCGCTGGCATTCTGATTAAAGGCAATTTTTTCTCATCTATGAGTATTGATTTTGTAAGCAGTGAGCAACAGAACAGATCCAATTTGATAATGTAGAGAAATTAAAATTCTTGTACATGGTTGGGGGGAATATAAAGTGGTGCAGCTGCTTTGAAAACAGTTTGGCAATTCCTGAAAAAGTTACACGTGGGTGATCCTAGTTAATAAAACTGTATTGTATATTCGGAAGCTGCTTAGAGAGTTGATCATAAAAGTTCTCATCATAAGAAAAGAAATTTCATAACAGTGCTTGATGATGGATGTTAACTAGACTTGTTGTGGTGATATTTCCCAATATGTACAAGTATTGAATCACTATGTCATACACCTGAAACTAACATAATGGCATATATCAATTATATCTCAATTTTAAAAAAATTTAAACACAGAGCTACCGTATGACCCAACAATCCCCCCTAGGTGTACCAAGAGAAAGACATATGGCCACACAAAAATGAATGCACCAATGCTCATAGCAGCATTGTTCATAATAGCCAAAAAGTGGAAACCCAAATGTCCATCAACTAGTGAGTGAATAAACAAAATATGGTATATCCATTAGGAACATTATTCAGTCATAAAAAGGAATGAAGTACCGATACATGCCTAACACGGATGAACCTTGACAACCTTATGCTCAGTGGAAAAAGCCAGATATCAAAGCCACAGATTGTATGATTTCTGGCTCTATAACAGTCTATATTTCAGTCTATAACAGTCTATTTCTGGCTCTATAATCAGTCTGGCTCTATAACAGGTGAATTTATGGACACTAGACTTTTCCATAAAATAGATTAGTGGTTGCCAGGGGCAGGGTAGAGTGGGCAGTGACTGCTAATGGGCATGGGATTTATTTGGGGGTGATGAAAATGTTCTGGAATTAGGTAGTGGTGATGGTTGCATACAGAGAAGGCAGTGGCACCCCACTCCAGTCCTCTTGCCTGGCAAAGCCCATGGACGGAGGAGCCTGGTGGGCTGCGGTCCATGGGGTCGCTAAGAGTCGGACACGACTGAGTGACTTCTCTTTCACTTTTCACTTTCACACATTGGAGAAGGACATGGCAACCCACTCAAGTGTTCTTGCCTGGAGAATCCCAGGGACGGAGGAGCCTGGTGGGCTGCCGTCTACGGGATCACACAGAGTCAGACAGGACTGAAGTGACTTAGCAGCAGCAGCAGTAGATGGTTGCATATCCACTCTGTGGGTATGCTAAAAAAATATATAAGCATTGAATTCACACTTTAAAAGGGTGAAGGTTATGTTTTGTGATTTTTTTTTTCAATAATAGCTTTTTAAAAAACAGATCTTGCTGTGCAGAGTAGAAGGTCTGCATTGGCCACAGCAAAGAGGCAGAGGACTCAGGCACTCGTGCGGGTGGGTGGATGGGTGCGGCGGTAGGCGACTGTGGACATTCTCCCGTGGTGGCTTCAAGTGTCCTGGTGAGACAGGAGGTGAGGTCATCAGCTGAGAGTGAGGAGGCGGGTTCCAGGAAGAGCAAAGGTGTTAAACGAAGAGAGAGGGAGAATGGATGGATTCAGGACACTGCAGGGCAGTGCTGAGGTCCAGCTGAGGGAGGCAGAGGAGTGCTGGGGAGACGGGAGAGCCCCGGCAGCCTTGAGAGTGTGGGGACCTGAGTCAGGGGCGCCGTGCTCCCCACATAACACGGCTCTCCAGGTCCCTCAACACACAGGTACACACATGGAGGTCTGCACCATGAAACCCTAAAGATGCCCACCCTTCAGGCTTCATGATTTTCAATCCGCGTCTCTCACACTCGCGTCTCTCATCCCTCTTTGGAAATCTAGCCTCAGAGACACTTGCATGTGGACACAAGATATATGTACAGGATGTCTGCAGCAGCTTTGTTAGTAATGTAAAAGATTGGAAACAGCCCGAATGTCCATTACTGGGGAAATGGTCAAATAAATTCTGGTCCATCTGTGCTATGAAAGCTCTGTGGCAGTAGACGCTGGAGGAGTCTGTGTGTCTGACAGGGAAGGATGCAAAGAGGCAACATCATTAGGTGGGCAACAGTTACAGAACAATGAGTGTAATATTATGTAATTTTCTTCCCTTTTTTAAAACACAAAAGTGGTATTTATAAGTGTATACATAGGTTATTAAAAGATTAAAAGATCTAGAAAGGATGCAATTTACATTGTTAATGGTGAGTAATCTTGAGGGGTAGGTTTTGGGAAAAGTGTTAAGGAAGGTTTCAGGGATCAAAGGGTTTTAGAGGGGGCATAGATGCTCTTGTAATTTAAAAGGGAAAGATCTGGGACTACCCTGGTGGTCCAATGGCCAAGACTCCATACTCCCAATGCAGGGGGCCCCAGGTTCAATTCCTGGTCAGGGAACTAGATCCCACGGGCCACAACTAAGGATCCCTCAGGCAGCAACAAAGACTGAACATCCCACGTGCTGAAACTAAGACCCAGAACAGCCAAACAAATAAATTAAAATATCAAAAATAAGTCAAAATAGAAAGAAAAGAACAGCTGTGCCCTCCCCGCTATCCCTGACTCCATTCCCACTCTGGGCCAGAGAGTGAGACCAGCATCCGCCCAGTCTAGTCAGCTATGCCCCGCTCGCCCCTGGAGGCAGACACCAGGCCTGGCCAGAGCACAGCGGGTCCGGCCAGCGTTCCCTCTGCCCGGCCACCCCCACCTCCAGCTCCCAGCCTCCCCTTGCTTCCCCACCTCACACAACTGTTCCCCTCCAGCTGCTTCCCCGGGGTTAGGTACAAAAGGCCATGAGAGAAGCTGCCACAATGATAATACCAGACACTTACATAGCACTCAACTGTGTACACAGGCTCTGTTCTAAACACTTCATAAATGAACCCCCAGCAACCCCACGGGTTCCATACACTGATATTAC